GTAGAAAGCATGTATAATGAAGGAGCCCCTGAGTTTGTTGTTGATCAGGGCATGTATTATCCCACCGCCAACTATGGTTATTATTGTACAGGTGACACGGAAATCCATCTGTTGTTATATGCCAATTGCCATTGCTTTTGGTGGTTGCTAATGTGTGAACTGCTTTTGCTCTGAATATCCAGGATTTGGAACACCAAATGATTGGGAGGACCATAATAGAGTTTTTGGTATAGATGGTCCTGATGTCCAATATACTGTAAGTTCTTCCCTCCTTCCTACTCTGCCTGTTCACTCTGTTTCCAGTCAGGGAAAGTAAGAAACAAATAAAATAAAGCCAGAATGTTATCTCTTCATACATTATGCTGACTTGAGCTTGGGCTGCTGCAGGGTGTACAATCTGAAAGTTTGCCTTATGTATATTATTCACCTAGCTATGGATATGCGGAGTCTCCATACAACCCATACAACCCTTACATACCTGGTGCTATGATAGGTGTTGAAGGCCCACTTGTGGGGGCCCAACAGTACTACCCTTTATCCCCTTATCATAATTCTGCTTCTTCACCTGCCTATATTCCCATTCTTGTTCAACCGGATGTCAATTCTCCTGAAGCCTTGTCACACCCGGGGGCTGGGACTATCTCTAGACCTGATGCAAGAGGTTTAAAAAATAACGGTGGCTCTGCATCAACAACATTCGGTAGGAACTCTACTAAAAATTCTTCCAATCCAGCGAATTCTCTTAACAGGCCTTCGGAAGCTTCGAGAGAGAATGTTGGTCATGGAAAACCAACTGTCACCTATGGAAGCGTTTCTTCTGCAAGTGTTTCAAATTCTACTTCATCACGAGTATATCAGGTAAGTGCCATTTCTTGCTGCTGATGGACTTGTAATTTGAGAAAAGCACCTTGCAGGATGTTCCTGCATTGCCAGTGTCTTTTCTGGTCTAAATTTTCTTCTCTCTGTGCAGGGTAGAACCACATCCAGCACCATTCAGCATGTAGATAATAACTTTAGTGGCAAGGTTCCGTCTCACCGTAACCAGCTAAAGGTTGGTTTTTCTGACTTTGGTTCAAGTGCTTATGGATGGGGTGCAGTGGAAAAACCTCGACCGAGATTACATCTTGGCAGAGCGCAGGAAAATGCTAGTGGCCCTTTAGATGCTCAGGGTGAACAAAATAGGGGTCCTCGAACCAGCAGATCTAAAAGTCAGCTGGCTGTTAGAGCATACACAACCAAGGCAGGAGATAGTAATGCGCAGGGGATCATCATTATTGATACCGACCAGTATAATAATAAAGATGATTTCTCTGTTGACTATGAGGATGCCAAGTTCTTTGTGATAAAGTCATACAGCGAGGATGATGTGCACAGGAGCATAAAGTATAGTGTTTGGTCGTCCACTCCTCATGGAAACAAGAAGCTGCAGAGTGCTTATGAAGATGCACAGAAGATAGCTGCAGAGAAAAGTAAAAGCTGCCCTATCTTCTTATTTTTCTCGGTGAGTTGCACGTTGTTTTGAAGAATTTCCCAGTTTCGTTTTCTTTTCAAATGTCAAAGGTGTCTTAATACTTGTGAGTTTTTCTTTTCTTTGAGTGCTTTGCCGACAGATTTCTACCAGAATGTCCCAACCCCCAACCGGGCTTCTTATTTCGTAGTGCTGATTAGAGCCCGTTTGCAGGTTAATGCCAGCGGTCAATTCTGTGGTGTTGCAGAGATGGTTGGACCAGTGGATTTTCACAAGGATATGGACTTTTGGCAACAAGATAAATGGACTGGCAGCTTTCATGTCAAGTGGCACATCATTAAAGATGTGCAAAATGGTGCCTTTAGGCATATCATCTTAGAGAACAATGAGAACAAGCCAGTCACTAATAGCAGGGATACGCAAGAGGTATTAGGTTTCTCCTGGCCGTATATCTTACTTCCTATTAACTGCTAGTCAGTGGCCCCTTTTCTTGTTGTCAAATAACAGGTTACACAGGTTGTAGTTGTATTTCTTGCTCTTCCTCTGTTAACCCGTCTCATGTCTTGGTCTCGATGGCTTGATGAATTTTCTTCTTCATAGCTAAGTTCCATCATCGTATTCATATAACGCTCCTGGTTTATATAAAAGCAACTGCAAATGAATGTGCTAAAATATTTATTTGGAGGCACTTAATATATGGTGAGGGCATTGTTTGTAGGTGTACTTGCTTGTTTACATTCCACTGGCCATAGGGCATCTAGACTGGACCATATTGTTTTGCTTAACTTTGTTGCTTGTAGATCCCATATTTTCTTACAGGTTTATTTCCGTAGTTCTGTGTCGGGTATTGTCAACGAAACATGGTGCTCATTCTTGATACGAATTTTGTGCAGATTATGCATAAGCAGGGTCTGGAGATGCTTAAAATATTCAAGAATCATAGCTTGAAGACATCTTTGCTGGATGACTTTATGTACTACGAAAATCGGCAGAAAATGATGCAGGAAGAGAGAGCTAGGCTACTAATGAGGAGTTTTCACACTACATTTGCCGTACCTACCTTAGAACCTCCGCGGAGATTGTATAATATCGTCAATGAGCCCCAACGTGAAGGGAAAATTATTGAGCCGAAAGACCTAAACAGTACGAGGAAGAATCCCATTTCGGATACTGAGCAGGTCTTTCTAAATACCAATGTTGCCGGTGGAAGTGCTACTACTGGAAGATCTGATGAGCAGAAATTACTGGAACACAAAGATGATGGAGTATCTAGTCTGAAGATTGGTTCACTCACCATCAACCCAAAGCAGGCTGATCAGGCATATGTGAGCAGTGCCACTGGAGCTGCCAAAGTCGAAACTGCGCAAACGGAAGTCGTCACTGTTGGTTCAATGCCTGTTAAAGTCAATGGATTCAATGAATCTTCGAGTTCTTTAACTGTGGGGACAATTCCACTTGATCCTAGAGCGCTCCAGGCAGAAAGAGAAGGTGCTTCCAAAGGCGGTCCACGAAAATGATCACACAGAGATTTTCACGATTTGAAATATTGATTCGAAATATTTTACCCTCTAGGAGCACGCGTATGCGGTTGCCATCGTCCTGAGCCCCGAAGATGCATTCAGTGTCATGATCATTGCTGATTATTGAAGTGTCCGTTTTAGATTGTTCCTGTCGTTCTTTTAACCCCCCGTTTCATTTGCTGCGATTAAATTGTATCGGTCGAAAGTCTAATTGATGTTTTCGCTCTTTTTTTTGTGGGGGGGTGGTTCTTGCTTCAGAATCATGGGGGGACGCATACTTTTGCGTTTTTAAGCTTCTTTCTAACAATATATCAAAAGATACAACAGATTTTCTTTTCTTGCCACTTACCTTTTGGATCTTCCGGTTGTGTTGACTTAATGTAGCTTGTCTGGAGTAGTTTGTTCAGTGCTAATCATATCTCTCAAGGTCCTCTCTTTAGCATTCTATAATCTCTCTCTCTCTCTCTCTCTCTCTCTCTCTCTATATATATATATGTGTGTGTGTGTGTGTGTGTGTGTGTGTGTATCTACTGACTGTATAATTGCTGAACTGATGTTACTAACTGATCTTAGTCAACCATACAGGCGAACAAGTTGTCCTGAAGTCAATGGAAATGGGGAGTTCTTTATGTCAAGTCCTGTCCTTACATTAAGATGTTGACAATGCTTCTGTGCATTTCCGTGAGAATTGTCGGACGATAACGATGATGATGGAGGTTGGGTGCAAGACAATTACTTCTGCAGTTTATTCGATGATGGCAAATGTGTGGGCATTTGCGTTCGAGCTCTTGCTCATGAATGTGTCGGAGCAAGCTGTGGCAATGGTAGGAACGGAACTAGGATCTTTGATCGAGAGGATGGTGCGTATCGACGTGTAGGATCACACCAAAATTTTCGTAATTTTTTCAAATTGAGATGATATGTTTTCATTCTCTGGATTTCGAAATGGAAGTCGTAGATAAGGGAAAATTTTATGGTCAAGTCCAACGATTTACAAGATCGACGCCGTATGCAATCTTGAACATTTGGGTCAAAAGGAAAAATTTCAACGGTCAAATGATTTTGAAATGACGGAGACTTGCATTTAAGGAAAATTGCTAATTAGAAGAGTGCCGATGTTACTACTGATTAAGAAAGATAAGGCATGAGAATAATTACTAACCAATGGGGACTTTAGGTTTGGGAACCGTGAAGGGATGTTACCGTCGTCGAATTAAGTTAATAGATAAGGAAACACGAGATTTATGATTAAGTCAAAGACACGATTGTTAATCTTACGAGACTTTAAGGTAAATGATGGTCACCGAGTCGTCATTTACAAAAGGCTTGTCACGACAATATCAATCGGTAAGGATAATTACTAATCGAAATTGCCATCGCTTCCGACAATTTTATTGTCCTATCGGTTAATTGTCGAGCGTTAGCATATTCGTAGTACGAACTTTATCGATAGATTACTACTGCTCGGAAAAGTAAGTTCCTAATTACAACTGTAGAAAAGTTACGGTCCGGTCGCGAAGTTAAATTACTGCCGACAAGTACGATCGACCTCGGTCACTGTTGAAATGGAATCTGCCCGAAACGGCGACAATGGTCACGGAGCCGAAAAGACGAAATTACCAGGGGGCTCAACTCGCTGTCGCTTCCTCTAGGGGGTAGTTTAGGAATTCCGCTAAAACAAATCGGCCGTACCAGTGAAGCCGAGCGTGTTTGTTTTTTTTTTTTTTTTTGCACTGGCTGACGGTTTCCGTGCGGACTCTCGTTCCGTTTCAAAAGCTGACACCTCACCACCATTTCTCGCTCCAACTCTCGCTTTTCGCTCGCTCTCGCAGTCCCCCTCCGAGTCTCGCGTCGGCCTCAGCTCGGAGACCGCCTCTCCCGACGAGCCCTCCGCCGCACGCCGCCGTCGCCGCCGCCGCCGCCGCCGCCTGTACAGGTCTCTCCGGTGAGAATCGCCGGCCAGGCATGCTCCCCGTCCTTGTTTTCCGTCCGCATTCCGTAGGCGCGCGCGGCTTCTTCCCGCTGCTCTTTTCCTTTGGTCCGATCGTCCGTTTCTCCCGATTCTTCGTGCTTCGGTGTGATTAGTTCATCTCTTTTCCGGCTCGATCAGCTCGGGAATCGGCTGTAATCTGCAGTTATTTTTTTTTTTCTTACTGCTGATCGTCTTGTGGTGTGGAGTGTCCGTTCTCTCGTGGAATTTCATGCGTTGGCCTAATTAAACCGGGGGAGCGAACTGCTCTTCGGGAAACTCTTGCATGATAATTGCCTGCGGCTGGATCGTTAGGATTTTCTCCTTTTCATTGGCAATTCAGAAGTGAGATTTCGTGTTCTCGAAAGTGCTGCATTTACGTTTCGGAGCTACATGGTGGGTTATGGTTGTGTTTAAATTCCCAACACGAGACTTGTTGTTTTGCTTCTTTGGAGAGTTTTTTTTTTTTTTTTTCAATTTTAAGCTGATTTCGTGGTCGGTTCAAGGTGACGCATGGCCGGCGGCTCGTGGTGATTAAAAGTATCTTTTCATCCTAGGTTGCCCTCCACTGGAATACTTCAAGATGGTTAGTATCGGAATCGTTTACTGTGCGGTCCAACAAGAATGGTAGAGTTGAATTTAGCTCATGCTGTATGTGCTTATTAACTTTTTTTGTAGGTCGACTTACCTAATTATGTGGATAGTACCTTTGATCATGAAGCAACCGGAGATGTAGTGCCGAAGCCCGAGGTTTTGGATGTGGAGTTACCGCCGCAGACCATCTATGCGAGGCATACGGGGGTATGGCCTTGCTATTACGAATATATATTTCACCCTGCACCCGTCTCATTTTCCATTTTGCTGCTGCTCATCTTTATTCAGCTACGCATTTCTAAGACCCGATTTGGGTATGTATCTCTATTATTTAAGGTCCCCTGAACTGAGCTGAAATTTATTGTCAAGGAAATACACTGCAATAGAGTACTTTTGTTAAGTCCTAAATGAAATAACCGTGTCAAATTTTCTGGCCTTTCCCGTGGGATTGTCAGGGTTAAAAGCCTAAAACCATAATTGACCCTTTTCTCTCCTTCCTCACCCCCTTTATACTAGGACTGCACCGAGGTCGATCTCTGTCAATAAGCAACATCATAGTTCTTCAGTTTCTATTTTGTCCACTATGTCCATTTATCTTCTTACGTTTTCAACTTCTTCGTTATCTGCTAGCCTTGCTATACCAGGATTCATGATTTCTCTCCATTTATGGTTACAGAATGATGGCGCAAGTTCATCTGGAAGCAATTTGAGATCGCTTTTCATCGGAATGGGCTTCAAACCATCTCTTGTTGACAAAGTAATTAGAGAAAGGGGTATGTACGTGGTCAGACTATGTAACTCTAAATCTCACGTGTTATCCTATTTGAAAGTTCTCGGGTACCTGTGAGCAATGGTAAAGGATTGAGCTAACGCTTTACCCAAAAAATTAGAAAAAAAAGATTTGAATACTGTAAGTATGCTACAGGCTTTTGCCTTGGATCAGTTGTTATGTCTGTTTTTTTTCTTCTTTTTTTTTCATCTTTTATGTACTAATGACCATGCCAGATTTGTGCTAGGAATACTTACGCTGACATTTGATGCTTGAGCTTCTTCTCCATGATTTAGGTGGGAATCTGGGGGACGAGTCTGTTGACTTGATACTAGAGACTCTCATAGGATATTCAGTAAGTGAAATAATATACATCTCAATGATGTGCTGTTCTTTGTGTAGCAAAGAGTAATTCAAATTTTGTTCTTTATTTTCGGAAGTTTCTAAAGCATTAGCTTTATGCTCAACGGGCTTAAAACTTGATTGTTTCTTTGTCTTTCTGTTGCTTTGGTTTTTTGCATATGAATATAGCGAAATTTCCTAGTTACTTGCATATTATCAATCTGTTAGAAAGTCCAACCCAAAAGCTTAAGCTATTAGGTGGATGGAGACCACATGAATATAAAGAGCATTTAGGACCCGTTGTCAATCGATGTGGGATAATACTTCAACACCCCCACTCACGTGCAAGCCGGATTACGAGCAACACATGAAATTTTGACATCGCACATTCACATGGAATTTTTACCACGCACATTTGCGAAAGGGATAGTATTGGCTCTGATACCATGTTAGAAAGTCCAGCCCAAAAGCTTAAGCTATTAGGTGGATGGAGACCACATGAATATAAAGAGCATTTAGGACCCGTTGTCAATCGATGTGGGATAATACTTCAACACAATCTATGCTCTCTAGTTACTTGCATTTTATCAATCTTTGGAAAATGTTTGCATCTTTATACTGCTCTCTCATATTTACCCTGTTAGCTTTCCTCTTGAACAAGTCCCCTACATTGCTCTGCGAACACTTCCTCTTCAAGTCACTAAAAATAAGCCCTTACCAAATATTTATAAAAGGGTTAAGTTGATCTACTCATGACTTTATTTCCTGGAGAATGAGTGGTGAAATTCACATGTTGTGATGAGCACCAAACTGCAAAGGTGACTATTGGTAACTCTATTGACTTCTTTTAATTGCTTAAATTCTGTGTCGGGATTTATGAAAGTGCTTAAAGCAAGATATATCAATTGTTGATTATGACTTGAAACTTTCACATCGCTATGTAGTTATCATTTTGAAGGAAGTTTTTCTTCACTAAATGTGAGCTTGAAATTGTAATATGTAGCAGAAAAAAATGCTGGAAATGAGTATTTAAAAATGGCTTTTCTGATGATGAGTGCAAAAATGAATGCTGAGGATGCCAATTGTGAGTGGAAAAGATATTGTGAAAGATTGATTAGACCATGGGTTTGTGTACAAATGTGCACATGCATGTTTGCCGACTTTCCTTGATGTCTGGTGGCAGAAGAGCTGACAGGCGTCTGAAAATCTCTAGGATCTGCTAGTGCTGATCCTTGTAGAAGCTTTAAAGAATGGATGAAGCATACGACATTCCCAATCTAATATCTTTTAGGCCTTGGACTTTTCCACAGAAATGAGCATGCTGGGCTCATGCTGTGGACTGATAGTCTGGCCTGGCCGACCATTCCTGTCCCATCGCATGTTTATATATGGTATTTAGACTCTGCCCCACTGGATTGTGGTGCTTGACTCAAAAGCACAAGAAACTTTATGGTAGCGGCACCGCCCAAAGTACATTATGAGCCAACTATACATTATTCAGAGACTTCTGGACATTGTTCCCTTCTTTTTACTCAGAGATCAATTTCAGTCTCCATCTATTTGTTCAATCAGCAAGGTGACATAAATGGAAATAAGGAAGTACTGTGTACATGACTTAGTCCCAGGACTTATGAGGTTGTTGTCCATGCGAGTATATGGAATGAGAATTTTCCATTGTCTTAAGAAGAAATGTGAAAATGATGTTCATCAACTATAGATGTTTTAGCTTCTATTGAAGTTGACATGCTTTGTCTTAACTAGGGTAATCAGAAATCAAAGTCTGAATCTTCAGATTCGCTGGATTGCTTGTTCGATGATGATGATGATGCGACCAGTCATCCAGAACTTTCAACAGTTATCGAACCAAAAGAGGTAAAACATGCAGTAATAATTGGCCTCTATCTATCCTTTACCTACGAATTACTGAAAAATTTTCAATCATCATCTAGATTGGATACTTCTGATTTTTTTTCCATATTAATGTCACGGTTGAGTGATACAATGTAAGTCTGCTGTGGAACTGGTACTTTAAGCGCTCTCAACTGTCTTGGTACTTTAGCTTGCCATCCAAGAATGTTATGATCTGGTATGGTGGTCATGGTTATGCGCCTCTATTCATGATATTCAAATTAGATAGAATTTGCATTAACTCTGTTATTGCTCTCATGCAGGAATCTGTCTTTGTTGGGGGAGTCTATGATGAAAAAAGGGCGTCATTGCAGATGATGCATTTCTCTGCGAAGGATATTGATTTTGCGTTTGCTAGGCTTGGTGCGTAAAATTTCCTGAAAGTCTTGTGGTCGCTTTATGTTTTCTTTCTTGTGCTGTTTATTCTACATCATGATATTGCTGTCTTCATGTGAAAAGGAAGTAATCACTTTCCAGGTTCTTCTTGATGTCAGTGCATTAGAAATTAATGTTGTGCAATGGGATAAGCGCAAATAAGTGCTGAACATTTTAGTTGGTCAATTGAGTTGTAAGCATTTAATTCTGGTTAGTTTAGTCCTAAACCTTTTTGGAAAATGTTCATTCCCTGAGAAATTGACCAATATTAAGCTTACAGGACTCAATTTGCAAAAATTTATACATTTATGGGTCAATTAGCCGTGGACAAAAACGTTTAGGACTTCTGCTGCACTTTTCCATCGTGCAATATTAATGCAATTATCGATGGGTTTAATTGAAATCCTTGTCGAGAAGAAACAAAACCTTTACAATATCTATTTTTGCACGAATGTTTTTTTTTCATTTTAGGTTTATCCGTATCCGTATCTATCTATGTCCTGTGTACCCACACACAAGCATGCCAAGGATGTGCCTGCAATGCACCTGTATGCACGGTGCATACCCACTGTGTCTGAAGCTTACCCTCATACAAAAAGAATTACTGGAAATAAGATCTAATGAAAGCACAAGTTTTGTGGTCTAAAATGTTAAAAAGGATTATACCGTATTTGGAAGACAGTAATTTGGTATATTCTGCCATGGAGATTACAAGCAATTGTTAACCTGAGTCAGAAGGGAAGGTGTTGCTAGTGAATACATACACAAAATTCTTTCGTACATAGTTATGTTTTTTCAAGGATTCAACTCTTTTCAGACATGGACGTCGCCCTTTTGTTTGCATTATGCACCATTTAACTCTGGGATCTTTGAAATTTGTGGCACTTTCTAGATGGTTTATCAATAAAATGCTTGTTCTCAGCACTCAAATTAGTTCTCAGCTAATGTGATGCTAATTTTGACGAGTGCTTTTTCTCTTTCAATCATATTCATTTACCATTTCACAGACCCTTTCAGGGTAAGTTTCCAGATATATGACATCCTTGAGCATTTTCTGCCTATAGATGTTCTTGTATGCAACTTGTCTGACAATTGGACAGTTTCTGTAGGAAGCAATGGCTCTTTTCGTTTTTGGTCAAAGAAGCAATGGCACTTGTCTTCTTATATTTCCTGGTCCTATGCTGTTTTCTTGTTTAGATGACTTCTTTCTTGGTTTTGATAGGTGAAAATGCAACCGTTGATGAGATGGTGGACTTCATTGTTGCTGCCCAAATAGCTGAAAAGTTTAGAAAGGGCACAACTGATAGAACTAATAACAATGAAGATAATATTGAGGTGAAGTTGTTATGCAAGATTAGATGCCCGATTGCTGTGTATTCGTTAAGATATATACCATATAGATCACGTTGTCTGACAGCTCGGGGTTTTGGAAAAAATGGCGGTTCAACATGACGATTGACTTTGGGTCGAAAGTTCGAATCTTGACACCCTTTTGTTATTATGTCTATTACTCCTGTTTGTCCCCCAGTTGTTAAATCCGCATCTCATGTCTCATGTGTAAGGTTCGGTGTACACGCGAGGGGAAGCTTAAAGATGAGTGCTTGAAATAAGTTTTTGTGAACATTTCTTACATAAATTTGTGGAAGGAAAAGTTGTTTCAACAGTAGGAAATTGTTTTTCGTGGTTATTTAGCGATAGAGTCATCAATATATTAATGTGATGCTTATGGCAAAGATTAGCGAATGTGATTGGTGCAATGAGGACCTCTGCGAGTATTCTCCTTGTCCCTTTAAAGCTGTGTTGAGTACTCTACATCCTCTCCCATGAACAGCAAAGAGTTCAACATTGTTGTGCATCATCTGTATGTGTCATTTTGCACTTTTAAGTGTCGTGCTTGGCCCTGTTAGTCGTATATTTAATAGATATATGCTGCTGTATATTGTTATATTTTGTATTGTAACAGCCCAACTCTAAACCAAATCAATCGGGATTATGATGGCATCGTGTTTTTATGAACCATGTAGAAACCACAAGTTGGAATTTAGAGATTTAAAGCTGCAGATCTAGGTGTCTTTATCACATTCAACATGTCTGACATATTTATTACAGTTTTTTTTTCCTCGGCATTGATTGGTGCTGCTTTAATAATGTTTTCTGCAGGAGAATAATGATGAGAAATTGTTCGGGACTATGGATAAGACACTCAGGTTGCTTGAAATGGGTTTCTCTGAGAATGAAGTGTCATCTGCATTTGAGAGATTCGGTGAGCAGTTTGTGAATGACATTTATGAAAGTATTGAAGTTAGGCGAAGATAAACATGTTTAATTTGGAAAAAAAGGTTTTGAAAAGGCTTTCTCAATGCTTTGACATGTGAGTATAGTTTAGGTGGAAAGTGAAAGAACGGAATCTCATGACAGGTGATTGGGATCCATGGGGCGGGCTTATTAAAAATCTGGCCTGAGTCTGAATTTTATGCTAGATCAAAATTTGGATGTCCCTTTCGTGGGCTCATCTTATATATCAGCCTATGAGTTCTCTCCCTGGACTCAGGTAGTGTGAAGCATCCAGAACCATGTGCACTAAAAGCACAATTCTGCCTCTTTTTCCCCCTGGAGCCTATTTGCTGACACTTGGCTTTAGTCTTCCAACCCAAGATTGGATAACCATTTTGTCTGGTCCTTGTGGGTGCGAAATGTTTCTATACTTTTCTTCTTTCCTTTTAGATAACACCAGATGCAATATTCAGGAGGTTAATATCTTTGTCGTTAGCCAGCTAGTATGCTGATCCTGTTGAAAGTCAATGTATCAATCAAACTGACTTTTCAATTGGCTGTCACATGTCACCCCATATGCATGCTAACCATTGAGATATCTTTTTCCTTTCAGGTACGGAAGTTTCAATTGATGAACTTGCTGAGTCAATTCTTGCTGGTCCACTTGCTGGAAAGTTTGTTCAGAAAGATAAGGTGATTTGATTTTCTAATGTTCATTTTATTTTGTTTAAGTTTACCCTCTTGTTTGGACGAATGAACAGAAAGATTATGTTTAAAAGATGTTCCTCATGCAGTTAGATCACCACTTTCTTAACTTTGGATTTGGTTTTGTTGCCTTTTAATTCTGTTAGAGCATGTTCAGAGTTGTGTCCCTGAGGGAAGAACAATGTATCGATTCTTGGATTTTGAACATTACTTGGTCGCTGACATGCCAGTGGAAACTTGTATTAATGATCTGTTCTGAAATATGAGTTCACTGTTTTGTTTGTTTGGTGCAGCATTCTTCTTCTTGTTTCCGTGAAAATTACTGGCATATCACAAACTATGAAGAATATCATGGTATAGAGATGAAGAATCACGTGAGAAGCAACTCATATGGTCTTACAACTGTAAAAACCGAGGATTTTGGTGCAGATGCCTCATCACAGTCTAGTTATGACAACAGGGATGGTCTTCAAGGAAAGAGGCCAAAAGAAGAGAATTTTGATGACTTTCCAGATGCTGTATCTAACTGTAGGCGATTTGACTTTGAGGACATTCGTAAGGGGAAAAGGCCAAAGCGAGAGTCTACTGATGACTCTAGCTCTTGCCTCGGATCTACATTGTCTGAACGAAAAGCCGGCACTGAATACACTGGAATCGTCACAAACAAATCATTTGGATCGAATCCTTCCAAAGGCCTTGATCAAGTGGTAGCGAAACCTCCGTATTTCTTTTATGGGAGTGTCGTCAACCTTTCTCAGGAGTCTTGGGCAAAAGTTTCTCAGTTCTTGTATGCGCTTGAGCCTGAATTTGTGAATAGTCAGTACTTTTCCGCATTGACTAGGAAGGAAGGCTACGTGCACAACCTTCCAACAGAAAATAGATCTCATATACTACCCAAGCCGCCAATGACCATCGAGAATGCAATACCACATACAAAAAGATGGTGGCCATCATGGGATACACGGAAACAGTTGAGCTGCATTAATCCTGAAACAAGTGGCCTGTCGCCTTTGTGTGATAGACTTGGTAGAGTTCTGACAGATTCGCGAGGGTTGCTTTCGTCTGAACAGCAAAGGGACATCCTTCATCACTGTCGAGCCCGAAACCTTATTTGGGTTGGTCAATACAAATTGGCACCGGTAGAGCCTCACCATTTGGAATCCATCCTTGGCTACCCGCTAAATCATACTCACTTCGATGACATTAACTTAAATGAGAGACTGGAATCCCTTAGGCACTGTTTCCAGACAGATGTCTTAGGGTATCATCTATCTGTGTTAAAGTCGATGTTCCCTGATGGACTGACTGTGCTATCCATTTTTAGTGGAATCGGCGGAGCCGAAGTAGCCTTGCATCGGCTTGGCATCCGTTTGAAAGGTGTAGTCTCCATAGAGACCTCGGAAACAAGACGCAGAATTCTAAGGCGATGGTGGGGTAATAGTGAGCAAACTGGGGAATTGATGCAGATTGACGGCATACAGAGGCTGACCACTAGCAAGCTCGAGAACTTGTTTTCTAAGTTTGGAGGTTTTGACCTCCTCATTTGTCAGAACCCATGCATTCTCTCTACTAGTCAGAAGTCGGCTGCAGATGGCGAGAATTTACCAGGTTTCGATTTTTCATTGTTTTACGAGTTTGTACGTATTCTGCAACGGGTAAGGAGTATGATGGAGAGAAAGGGGTGATCTAGGTTTGCTGATCACTGTAGATTTCACTTCTGCTATTCTAATCATCCGTCTTGTAGTTGTTTTCAGATGCCTAACATTTATATTTTTCGACCAATGTGGAAAATTAGGCTGAACTATGGCATCAACAATATGCAGTTCAATTTGCTAATGTTTATCAGATGAGTTGATTTTACTAACTTGACCAATTTTAGAACGAGATCATATCATCATGCTTGCGTCATCTTGTCGTTGATGTTGTGTGTTGATTGTGGTAGAGCTAGTCGGATGGGGTTCGGTGTTGGGAATTTCTGTGAGGCTACCTATATTTATCTATTTTTTTGCCCAAATTCAGTGAGGCTAGATGGGGCCTTCTTTGTTCTTTTCGTCCAGATTTCTGAGTTTTTTAATTGACAGAGGCCAATTGCTGGTATGAAGTTCCCCGGCAATTATAGCATGGACCAGGGTTCGGCGACCGGATTAATCACAATCATTGAGCATTATTGAACATGTGATAGAGCGGTCTAGGCAAAATTTATCCCGCTCCCCTCCCCTCCCAACTTTCCTTCTTTTCTGACATGAACTGCCAACTAACATCATCATTGACTGTAGATCTCTTTGGACGATGTCACACCTATTATTCAATGGTTTACAGTAACCCTCTCTCTCTCTCTCTCTCTCTCTCTCATTAAGAACATGACATGTAACATGTTTGTTTGCGAGACAAAATGATGAGAGATTGCATTTTCCTCAAACAAAGCCACAAGGACAAGAGAGCTCATCTTCTGATCATCTTTTGGCCTAACCTAGTAACAAGTTAATCATCGCTTTGGAATAAACTAGGCACAAAATGGGGTATATACTCTTTCGAAACAATGTCTCCAGTTTCATCCCTGAATTACCCAATTGATTGAATGATACTCCCTCCGCTTCAGAAAAATAGTAGCACACAAGCTTCCCTTTCTCTCTACAATCCAAGCGAACTATTGTTCATATACCTCCAAAACTATAATTTGTGCAGAACGCAACAGTCTTTTGTAAGCAGTGCATCTTGTAAGTCTTATCGATACCTGATTTATTAGTTTTGTAACTTATCAACCAGTGGATCAGAGTTTGAGGATAATGGAGGCGGCGAAATAGAAGCATACATGGGAGCGGAGGATCTTCATCCACCCCTTTAATATCGAACTCTTCCTTTCCAATTTCTCTAACTGAATATGATGAACTATTTCTGTCCTATGCCGGCAATAGTTTTCCTCGTTGATTGAGTAGGAAAAGTACGCCCAAAATTGGTGGAGACAAGCGTGCATGATCACATACAATTCAAGAAAATCATTGTCCATGTAATGTGATGGGGGACACTTGCTTTTGTGTTTTTCGTTTTTTGGCAGCAAATAAGCCGACTAAGAGTTAGGACTTACATGGGGAATCATTGTCCTTGTTTTGCTCTGTTTTGCCATTGTTGAAGAGCACAAACTCAGCGTCCACTGTCCAATCGAACTGACGATCATAAATGGAAAGACATCATCCCCATGATCATTGATAGTTTGCTGCCTTACTAAGAAAGGTTTTCTTGACCTTTTGCTTTTGTTAAGGACGAAAAGCTTTTGGTGCTAATCACTTTTGTGCCGGGACAAGATTGATCATGATTTTCCGTTATTTCTTCCCCATGGTACTAATTGCAAGAATATTCTGGTGGGTGTGTGCGCTTTTGTCCTCTACCCATTTTCCCTCTTTTTCTACTATTCTTGTTTTGGGGTGAATTGGAGTCATGATGAAAAGGTATCAACACTACTTTCCCGTGCATGGATTTCCATGGTTTACATTAATATCTAAGGTGGTGCGTTTTCTCCTTTGGGGTGATTCCAAAGATAGTAAAAACGTAGGGATCTATCACTAGTGCTAACCCATTAAAGGCAACATTATCTCTCCTAAAGTTCAGGAAAAATTCATATTATCTCTTCCTAGGTACTTTTATCTTGCCTCCCTAAACTAGACTTCAGCGTCCGCTTTGAACCCATCACAATAAGTTTTTGGGGGTAAACAACTTCACGTGATTTTACTCGACAACAACAAGAATTATACTCAACACAACATTACATAGCATACTTATTGGATGAGAAAATTACCAGAAAAGTTTTAAATCTATTGTACGGATACTAATTTAATCATGAACCTTTTAATTTGGCCAATTTAGTCTTAAATCTTTTGACAATTTATCAATTTAGTTTTTTTGGTAAATTTTGGTTGGAAATTACTGAAGTGGAAGCCGGTTGATTTACATGTCACAGCTGGCATTGACGTGGACAATTTTATGCAATTTTTTAAAATTTCTTTTGAATTTATTTTTATATTTTATATTCTTTTTTTTCCTTCTTTCTCCGATCGCCGAGCCTCGCTGTGGCCGGCAAGGTGACCTCGCTAGGCTTGCCCAGACTCGATCGAGGCTCACCTTCTCTAGAGCCTTGCCTGTGGTTGGTGGCTAGCCATCGCCGAGGCTCGGTGACCGGTAGAGGAAGAAGAAAAAAAATAAAATATAAAAAAAATTCAAAAATTGTCAACGTCAGTGATTTTCGGTCAAAATTGATCAAAAATATTAAATTAGCAAATTATCAAAATATTTATAACTGAATTGGCCAAATTAAAAAGTTTATAACTGAATCAGCATCCGTACGATAGGTTCAAGACTTTTTTGGCAATTTTTCCCTTATTGAATCTTAAGGGGTTGATAGCGTTACGCACGAACGATGGTTGAAAGATTTGATTATCATACTATTTTAGGTGAAGTCCATACTATTTATCCAATTTCCATGTTCACACGGAAGAGAAGGCATTCTTCCCCGGATGAAGACAAATGAATCCTTCCAAGTTTTGTATGCTTTCTCCTACTCTATTCCACGACATTCACGCTCTCCTATTCCCCGAGCTTGGAGCAATAAAAGAAAGAATGAATCATACGACGACGTGACTCGACTTTCACTGCACTGATCTTGGTGGTCGAGGCCGGAAATCTCGGGGACTTAAATTTTTTCCATCCCTTTCACCATCTTTTCATGTTTATGACAAAAACCTTGGTTGAAACAAAAACAAAAATGATGATGTGTTTGAGTGGATTACTACTAATCTGTGTGGGACACAACGACTATAAGGTCTGTCAATTTCTCGGCTGCATATCCCAAACACTGTGCATAGCAACTCATCCTTGACCTTGGCTATGGTTATGATTTAAGGCTCAATGTGTTTTGCGAAAAATATTTTTTGATATAATATTTTATTAATTCAACAGAAAATCTATGTTTAAATTCAGCAAAATAATTTTCTCTTAAAAAATTGAAAATCATGTTCAAAAATATGGCTAGATCGGCGCTTGGACCAGAAACTTTACGTTTGGTTACACGAACTTCAATGCCTGTTCTTGAGCCCTTGACAAGGTTCCTAGGCCGGGACTGGGTCTGCCGGGGTCCAAAGAAGCCGGGCCTAAAACTCTGGTGCCCGGGCCCAGGTCCACAAAGGTTGGGCTCAAGACATTAGCGCTTGTGGTCGGACCTTGGACTCTGATACCGTTGCCCATCTCCCAGGCGCGGGTCCATAGAAGCCATACCCGAGACCTTCGTGCTCGTGTCCGAATCTCTAACACTCAGGCCCGGATCCATTGAGGCTAAGCCCGAGACCTTTCGCCCGGGACTGGGTCCATCAAGGCCAGGATTGTGACTTCGGTGCTAGTGCCAGGGCCCATGTTCATCAAGGTCGGGCCCAAGACCTCAGCCCCGGGCTCGAGTCCTCGGCGCCCATGCTCGTGTCCATCGAGGTTAGGCTCGGGACCTCGGTGCTCGAGCTTGGGTTCACGACACCTACGCCCTAGGCTGGGATTGGTACCCCGGAGCTCGTGCTCGGGTCTATTGAGGCCAGGCCCAATTGAGGTTCAACGAGGCCAGGCCCGAAACCTTGGTACTTGTATCCGGTTCCCTGACTGCTTATGCGCAAGTAAGTTATTAGTGCTCGAATAATGTATTTTATTAAGAAAATCAAATCAAATTTTACTTATTAAATGACGAAAAGTATTTTCCGGTTCATTTTCAAGTTTCAGTCAAATACCGGAAAATATTATCATTTTCATGGAAAATAATTTCTCGAAAAACATTGTCCAGATTCGTCACATTTTTTGTGAAACAAACAGAGCCCGAGTCACTTTACCATGAGATTGTAGATGAATTTCAACGCAAAAGCATTTAAATACGTTGCTTACATTTCATCTCTTAATCTACCTATTCGTGCTTGAATACACACGCATGTTTAATGGCTCTCATAAAATTATATTTGGTAAATATGATTTTCAAAAAAAATATAAAAAGCGAGAGCACAATCTTACATGGAAGTCAAGAAGAAGAGAGTGGAGGATCGAAAAGTTACGGCGAAGGGTAAAATAGTCAATCTCGCGATACGCCATTTTTCGAAATCTCTATATGCCATTTTATCAAAAGACATTACTCCCGAAATAAATATTTCGCGCTATTATCCAACATATTAATTTAACGAAACAACCTATATTATTGACAGCGAAGTGAATGTAAATTGCGGAAGGATTTGGTACAAGTCACATTCATCTGTCCGTTTATCTGGTATCGCTTGCAATGCACATAACATCTTTTTATGCACATTTTCTTTTTTTGGTTTTTTGGGAAGAGTCAGGATCTACTCGTGCTCCAGGGGGTAAGTGAAGTGAAGCTACTTGGGTGCTTCGCTCAGTGCCAGCTTGTCTTGGACTGGCACTGGCACATCCACCCTTCTCTCATCTCTCCCTCTCTCTTAACCCCAGCGCTCTCAGCACCAGAAAAGACTTCTCTTTTTAGCATTTCAAGTCATATCAGCCAGTGAGTACTCCCCATTTCTTCCACTTTTTGAACTCTTTGTTTCTACTTTTATCTGCATTTATCTTTTCTTGATCGGGAACTCCTGGAAAGCTCACTTAATCTCGTTCTTCTTTAGCAATGCCAGCGCATTGCATTTTGTTTGTTTCTGCTGTTTTTTTTTTGTCAGAGTTTGTTTCTGCTGTTGAGCATCCAGGACAGTGATGTTTACTTGATATCCCTTTGACCCACATTACTATTAGTGCCGTGGATGTAGCTCTCTGCTTAAAGTTCGTGCCTTTATAGGCCTCTATATCTGGAGCTCAGCCTCAAGGTCTTTCTCTGTGTCCGCA